TATATATATATATATATATATATATATATATATATATATATATATATATATATATATATATATATATATATATATATATATATATATATATATATATATATATATATATATATATATATATATATATATATATATATATATATATATATATATATATATATATATATATATATATATATATATATATATATATATATATATATATATATATATATATATATATATATATATATATATATATATATATATATATATATATATATATATATATATATATTTGTACAAAAAATGGTTCCAGTAGTAACGCTCCTTAAAGTTAAACTACATATTCACATTCCTCATCTGTCTACCGTCACATTATACTAATCACTGTTACATACAGTGGCCGAGAGTGCAAAGAGAGTAATAAAACACAGACAAAGAAGACAGCTTTGTCACTTTTTCTATGTTATTTGTGAGATTGTCTATGTTGTCAAACTGATGAAAATGTTTTCTCAATTTACTTTAACATTTTTGTGTTTATGTTTTTATAACTTGCAGCCGTTGTTAAATTTAAAAGTATTTTAAACATGGATGGACATCTAAATGGATATAGGGCACATATCTCAAAACATTATGAAATATTTACAGATAAATCAATTTTGAATTAAAATGTATATTTATCTTCAGACTTGCATCTCCCTGATCTTTTTAAAAGAACGGCCCCTCGTTTGCTCATCACTGTTTGACAAGTGTCTGGCAGTCAGTCAAAAATATACTTACATATAAAGATGTTCATCAGCTACACGGCACTTAGGTTAAACTTTGACCTCCTTTTCAGTTGATGTGGAAAACAAAAGCAAAAGAAAAAAAAAACAAAACGACTGAATACAAGTTGCATATCATGCCTGTACAAATCAAAATGTATTCATTTAGGGCTTAAATTGACTTGTTTGAGGATGAGTTAAGGTGTAAGGGATGGGTGAACGGTGTAAATATACATGTAATTTATAGCTATGATGTAAAGCTGAATTTTCAGCATCATTACTCAAGTCTTCAGTGTCACTTGATCTTTCAGAAATCTTTTTTTAAGATGTTGATTTAGTGCTTGAGGTTGAACTAATATAATGGTGATTATCAAATGGTGCTGATTTGCTGCTCAAGAAACATTTCTGATTGATATCAATGCTAAAAACAGATGTGATGACAAATAATGTAGTGTAAACTTTTTTCTAAGATTTAATAAATCAATTAATCATAAAAAAATTAAACAAAATGAAAATCACAAATATTACTTCATTAGCAGCAAATCTGCATATTTATTAAGTTCTGAAGAATCATGTGATGTGAAATTTAATACCACTCACATGTTTCATAGTCAAAACGTTCTTAAAATAACTGCAATAAAGACAAGTAACAGATGCATAATATATAGACATGTAGCGTGTGCATAATGATGTGCAATGGAAATTCATATGAATTAATCCTCTGCTTAAAGTTACCTGTCTTTTCTGCATCTCTGTGATCAGTTCCCTTCAGAAATGTAGGAATCTTGTGTTATATTTTCTGTAGCAGGGGGTTATTCTCTCACTCCTGAAACCACAGAACACTTTTTTACTTAACATTTGTTTAAGATACCATGAAATATCAAAACACGATTGAACTTCTGATTCACGGTCCTTTACAGTACAATGCGTATTTTAGACTACATATGGAGTGCATTCAATAAAACATTGACAAAACCTCTCATCTACACATAAAGAATAAATAAAATCCAAAACTTTAACAAACAAGTTTAACAAGAGCTAACATTAAGTAAGTTAACGTAATATTACCCCGACGCTAACGTTACCGGTGCTAATATGCTAACGGACTTTTACGAAGACTTACCACTCTTATATAACATAATATTCAACTGAATATTCATCAATTGCCAATATTAAAAGTGTGAGGAACAGTTTTATGTATTATTTGCTTTGTTTTAGGGACTAAACTTACCTGAAAACAGTCAAAACGGCAGCTTAAGAGAAGTCGTGTTGTGTCTTTTAGGTGGTGTCGTGTCGTGTTGTAGCTTCGTTTCCCATAGCAACATCCTCTCCGCTCCAGTCTTGGAATGAGACGCGCGCGCGCACATCAAAGTCATGCAGTATTACATTTATTAACATGATCACTTCATAGACAATTTAAATAATAACCTTGTATTTTATATCTTGAATTTAAAATGTATTTAGCAGTTTTATATACGCTATTATCTTTAAGACGAGCTTTATAGCCTACTAATCTGTTACAAAACAAACACTTTATTTGTGCATCAGATTCACTGTCAAAAATAAATAACCAATAAATATAAATGCAAGTATATATAAAACAAAGATGTCACTCTGTAAAAAGGTGTTTATTTTAAATAAACAGCCGAAATGCAGAACATACTTGATTTTTACACTGGGAAAATGTATTAGAAAAAGCCACAATAAAAAAAGCAAACAGCAGTTAACACCAGAAAAAAACAACGTTTTCATTATTAAAGCATAACAATAAAAAAAATTATATTTTAATGAATTGAAATCATGTATTGTAGGCATTTTGGTCAGTTTTACTGCATTAATGTAGGCTATTTAAAGCTGGACCGACCGACGCAGTAGACATGATGCATCTCGCGTTTGTCTAATTTATTATGCACGCAAAAACTTACTTGTAAACAAAATATGATGCCGGATTCATTCATGGGCATGAGAGATAAAGTGCTTATGAAGTGCTTCGTCGGCCTCTGGTCGTTAACCGATGCAGAGCCGACGTTTGTTGAGCTGGAACAATAGAACACACGACCGAACGATCATGCGTATGTTTGGCCGACCATATACCGATGTTAGAATTAAAGGGGCCGACGTGTTGACCTTCGGCCGACGTCGGCCCAACGTATGTGTGCTGTCTGGGATATATATATATATAATGAACCATTTTAAGAAATGCATTCAAATATTTCATACATTATACAATAAATGTTATTGTTTAAGTTTTATTTATGCATTATTATACTATTAGACACTGCCTTTATGGTCACACAGGAGACCGGTGGGATCAAACAAATGAACGTAAACACTTTATATTAAAGACAACATTTATGGAAATGATTCTGATGTTTATGTCAAATCTAATTATTAAAACCTCCAAATACCAATAAGTTTTGTATATATTCATTTATTTTTTGCTGTCTTTAAACAAATAAAAAATAAAAAATTATTTAATCCACATGTTTAAAATTATGTGGACATTTTGTATTTTTCACTGTCCCTATGCTAACTGTACACTAAATAAAAAATGAATTCTGTTTCTCATAAGCCTTTGAGTATATGATTACCTTAAGTTTACAAATTCCAGAAGGAGCCACACATATCTGGCAAATACCATCATAAAGGGTTAAAATCTTGCCATCGCTGTACTGCTGTCCATCATTAGTCACCTGAAGAAGAAAAAGAGAGATTAGGTTTAGATACTAATGCTGTGTGAATGATGATAATTTTTAAAACATGTTTAACACAAACATTAAATTAGCTTTTAAAGAGTTTACACTTAGATTTCGCTTGACGCTATTAGCAGGTTTGGCATGCTGTTTCAGGAGAGAACCCCTGAGCTTATAGATAATTGAGCCTAGGACATCAATTAATAATTAAGCTCAGGCACAGGTGAGAGCTGCCCCTGCTAAAGGAGGAAAAGGAGGAGATGAGGTGGAAGTCGGGATAATTCTAAAACTAAGTAAAGGCTTGAATCAATCTGATTGGTTTATTGCTGATAACGAATCATATCACATGCTCCTCTTGAAATTAGTTCATAAAAATTCACTTACTTCGTGATACAGAAGGTTGATCAGTGGAGTCTTAGCAAATCAAGGAAATTTTTAAGTTAAATTTATATTTAGCTAATAGTCAGTCTAAACTTTGAACTGACATCTGACACATATAATATATTTTTTTTACTAAATGTGTGTATGTTTTGTTCTAACATTATTAATTAATTCAATATTTAATTAAAATGACAAAACTCAAAAAAAGTTCTGGTTATTTCTACCTCGAACTACCATAGCAGTCTAAATGACCACATTTCATTGTCTGATACTTTTCCCAATGACTTCAAATATGCACGCCTCAGTTGCCTAGCAACTTCCTAATAACCAAAAACATAACTTTCTATTGGCAAAAACTTTACTTTATATACTTTAAAAACAGCATATTCATTGCTCTAAAAAAGCCTTCCCCCTGCTTGTAAAAGTGAACATGAAAGTGAGGTGCGGACATTCTCAGGTAGTCTAACTTTAGTAGCCTAACCTTACACTTATAGGCTGTATTACCAAAAAGATTGTATTTTTAAGGTAATGACTTAATTAAATATGATGACAGACATGCAATGCTTAATTTTAATATCCCAAAAGAAGCTTTGAACGTAAATATGACATGACAATATGACGTTTTATTTGAGAATGATGACAGCTATGATAATTCGAGGTAAAAAATATTAGTAATGTGTGTTAATAAGTATAAATATTTGTTTGAAAAGACTGATAATACATTTTTGACAAGCCCCGCAAGCTTCTTTCTTTGGCTCAGATCGAAATGCGGAAAAGCAGATTTGGATTTAGATGCTGATAGTGTGACGCACTGAACATTCTAATCATTATTATAAGGATCCGGGGCTTGAAATTGCAACCATTTTGGTTTAATTCAATATATGCATACTCATAATATATTTGGAAGCATTTTTTTCTAAAAACGTTCACCGATTTGAAGAAATGGTGATCGGCCTTCCTTGCAGTGTAGATCTTATGTTGGTTCTCATGAAAACAATAGTGCAAAAATTAAATTTCTTATATAAATGCTTTGTTTTTATTTGATGCAAACCATTTTTTTATATAGTTTTCCATTTATTTTTCATAATTTAACAGCAGGACTTTGTATATCAGAAAACTCTGAAAAGATGAATAAATGTAATTTATTTGTTATTATCATCATTCATATTTATAATTATTTATCACCATTGCAGCATTAGTTGGACTGTTGTGTATGGTTTTGTTAGTCCTGATTGCTGTTTTCAAATACAATAAATTCATTAATATATAATTTTTAGTGGTGCTCATCATTTTTTTGTTGGTGCTCTTACATTTTTGCTGAAGTTGGAAGCACAAGTGCTACCAAGAAAAAAGTTTATTTCAAGCCCTGACATCAGACATGTTCAAGGGTTAAATTGTGCTGCAGAAGGTTGTTTGGTCAAATCCTAAATAAACTTATGTCCTAAAGATCATATTCAGTCAGAATAAGCAGTTCATTTTGTATTATATGGTACTTTTTTAAAGATCAGACATGAGATTCAACCCTACACATGCTACATTTTGACTCTTTACTCTATTGTTCCTACAGAATAGGTTATAAAGTGGCATGGAAATGAGAAATCTCAAACCCTGCTATAACCTTTCAAAGAAATGTTTCATTTAGCTAATGCAAAATACATATCCGGAATTGCATTTGGTCGATAAACTTCCTTAGTTCACTCTCCAATGGCAGGTGATGCAAAAACGTCCATCTTCTTGTAACACTTCAGAGCACCTTCAGCAACCCCAGTTTGGGTAAATCCAAAAGCGCTGTTAATTTTTCAACCCCTCGGTGAGTGTTAATCCCACAAGCCTCAGAGATTAATGCGAGCAAGAGTGAAGGTGGATTTCCAGATGCATCACCTCACCAACGCACCTTTGCTTTGACCTTCAGAAACACCCTGTGGCGCTTTAAACATTAAAATTCATGTTAATGATTCCCCTCTTCATTTTTTACATCAGTAAACAGGCTCATTAACACGTACACGCGTAGATCAAGTCCCACTTTGGGACAAAGCGATGAGGTCAATGATCACAACACCTCAATTGACTTTTTAATGTTTATGTTAGCCATATACTTAAAGCTAAAGCTAAATTGGTTTCTATATGGGCGTAAAAAATTATTGCGGCTGTCATTCAGGACGAAAAAGCTCCCCTCTATCTCACGCTTCGATGATTTCGATGTGATATAATATTTTAGAAAGCCCAGGCATGCATCGTTTAGCTAGCCCTCAAACAAGCAGCATAAATTCGAGCTGATTTTAACCATTAAAATCCACAAGTGTGAAGGAGACATTCTGCGTAATTACATTTTTTTTTCAGAGTTCAAAGTTGTGCTTCATCTTTCGATCACAAAAGATGGCCTTCCTTTATCAGACCGATGACATTTTGATTCATTCTGCCGGTGCAAAATAAAAAATGGCAGAGGAAAATCAATCACTGAACTCTCGGACGGATCTCCGTCACTGAGATTGATGGACAGGTACCTTTATCTCCCATCTGGCGTAGGGCTGCTCGCTGGCTGTAAAGTCCATCGTGTCGACGGCCATGTTGGTGATTCGTGGGACGGAGCAATCGACCGCTTTAGAGCTCAGGAAGGACGCTTTGGTTCTGCCTTCCTCTTCAGGGATCCAAACTCCGTTTGCATGCTAAAAAGATCAACAAAAAAGACTTCTGAGAAAAGGGATGGCACATTTAAAACAAGACAGTTAAAGGGATAGTTCACGCAAAACTGAACATTTGTGTTTTTTTTTTTTTTGTTGGACTTCCATAGTATTTGTTTTCCATACAATGGAAGTCAATAGTTACCGGTCTCTAACATTCTTTAAAATATCGTCTTTTGTGTATAACAGAGGAAAGAAACCACTTGAGGGTGAGTAAATAATGAGTTAAGAATAAATTTTTTTACGTGCATGATTACAATTAAATTAGGATGTGATAGGTTGTTTAAAAACGTCAACAGAAATGTTTTTTATTTTATTATTTATAGTTATTTATTTTTGGCAAGTCTTTAAGTCTTGAAAAACATTTCATCCAGTTTAAATTTGTTGTTTACAATTAAACAACAAAAAAAAAAAAAAGACATTTCCCAGCAGGCACACAATGTCGTAAGATGTTAATATTAGGTTAGATTTAGGTTATGACATCAGGTGACCAAAAGTCAATGTCTAGTCAGCGTCTAAGTTATTTTGATTTCCAATAAAAAAGTCAAATGACGTTAATATTTGGTGGATTTTAGGTTTTGTTGGAAAGTGACCAAAATCCAATGTCGAGCCAACATCTTAAATCTTAAACCATCTTAAATATATTAATGTCAAATACTGACATTTATTTGTCAGGTAATGCAACTAAAACGTCTGATAGACATCATGGTGGTAACGTCCACACAACATCAAGCTCTAACATCATTAGATATTGGGATTTGATTGATTCTAGGTTGTGTTGCAAAGGGACCACAGTCTAACGTTGAGCCAACATCTTCAACCAACATCATATTAGTTATGTTTCCATCCACCTATTTTTATGTGCAATTTGCATATGTGCATAAAAAAAAACAGTTGATGGAAACGCCATGATGTGCATAAATTTTGAAAATGCGCATAAAAAAACTTTTGTGCATAACTGAGTAGGATAAACTTTTCATTTGATAAGAAAAGATGGGCATAAACTATAATGGAAATACTTTTACCGCACAAATTTCAGTATGCGCATTAAAAAAGTTTTGTTATAGGAGATCATGTGATGATGAAAATGTGTGTAAGTGGACAAACCAGCAGGCTGAGCACACTGTAAAACATCTGAAATGTTGTTTTGGTCATTCTAAAACGCCTTACCGTTTAAGTATTAGTGTTATTATTTTATTAATGACCTCCAGAATCCAGAGCGCCTGTGCTCCGCATCTCACACCTTCAAACGCTACCGTGCATTTACTGTGTGTCGGGATTGCTTTCTGAGGCTTAAGTCATTTATTAAATCAAGAAAAGATTAAAGCAGCTTCTCCTACTGCAGCAGATTAAGTTTTTACTGTTGATATTTGGCGCCAGTTAATCAGGAAGTGACGATTTTGTTCACTTTGACTCTGCTTTATTTACACGTCTTTTATGCGATATTCCAGTTTTGCACATAAAGTTCATTCGCATTTTTGGATGGAAACATAGCTATTGATGTCAAATACTGACATTTATTTGTCAGGTATGGCAGCCAAAATTCAACATCTGATAGACTTCGTAACGTCCACACAACATCAAGATCTAACATCATTAGATGTTAATATTTAGTTGATTTTAAGTTGTGTTGGAAAGTGACCACAATCCAACATCGAGCCAACATCTTAAACCAACGTCATATTGAAGTCAAATACAGACATTTATTCGTCAGTTATGGCAACCAAAATCCAAAGTCTGATAGACGTTGTAGTGGTAACTTCCACACAACGTCAAGCTTGTAACATTGTTAGACGTTGATATTTGGTTGATTTTAGGTTGGACACTGACATCAACACGATTTTCTTTCCAAACAAAATGCAACGTCCCCACAACATTGGAATACAACGTTAATCTGATGGCATATTGACGTTCTGTGCCTGCTGGATTGGTTTATTTATATTATAGGTGGGCATAGATTAATATTTTTAAAAGTTAGATTAATCTTGGAATTAATCTAGATTAATCTAGATTAAAATGACTTGTTTGAATTCTGCCGAAGGCATTCAGAATATGTGTGCTACCCAAAAAATAAGTCTTTGAGAACGGGTTTCTCAAGCCAGGTGGCGCATTAGACCAGGAGCTTATCTCCTGTTTCCAAAATGCATCACAAATATTAGTAGCATTATTAAAGTAAACACCGCAATCAAACTATTACCGTCATGTAGGACTTTTCACCATATTTTCCAAAAAGATCCACACAGCAAACACACGGCTGTCAATGAAGGACCACACGCACACAGACACACAGACGCACACACACACACACATCGCGAAATGCAGATTTTTTTTTTTTTTTTTTTTTTTCATTTGGGCTTTATTAAATTCCACAACACTCTCACCAGTCCTTACTCTTTGTGTCTAATACCCCAGTTAGCGGGCATGAATGAAATGTTCGTGAGTTAAAGTGAAACTGCCAAACTGCAGTTAAAGTCAGGCATCCTGCTGATTTGCTTCAGAAGGGCACTTTTTTGTCAGACGGCTCACCGGTCAAGTATACATCCGCGCTAAAATATATAGGTGAAAGTCATCATAGCTTGCGTAGAACACACCCAGCTCCCAACCCAACTTTGAGAATAGATTAACAGCGATAATTCCTCCACTTTTACTCTTACACAACATTTTCTTATGAAAATAGGATAAAGTACAAAACCATATGGAACTTTTTTGTCTTTCTAAAGAGACAGTACACTTTTTAAAAATAATCACTTCTAACAAAACTAATAAACTTGAATATATTAAATATGATGAAAATGAAGAAAAATTTACCGTTGCCGTCATATTTTTATCATGAAAGGTAAACATACCCTAGTAGTTCTTGAATAGAGCGAGTGAAAGTCAAACTTTTTCTTTATATTCGACAAGAGTTTATCAGAAGTTATGCTAAAACTTTAAGGCATGCATCATATAAGCTAGAGTTGTTCCAGTCTGTTTGAGGTAAAACTGTAAATTAGAGCAATCTTCACCTCTGGTCCTTCCTTCTTTAAGAGAAACAGAAACAGCAAGAATAATGAATGTCAAACCAATTTACTCAAATGAAATGACCCCACACAGCAAGCTAGATGCCTTCTGGGAGAAGACGGCGGGAAAAGAAGGGGGCGTTTCAGAAATATTCAAGCAAGAATTCAAATGAGAGGAAAGCAGACAGATTTACATGTCAGGCTGCTTGGTGAATTTAAAGAGAGTCTTCTTCTGTTGAATTATGTCTGGTTTCTAACTGTCATGTTTTGTGTCCCAAAGCTGTATCTGAAAAACCAAATTACAATTTTAATTTTAAAATTAATAATCATAATCAGGGGAATAAAATATGTTCCTTTGGCTTATTTAAAACAACTGGGAAGACCCTAATAAATTCATAAGTTCATAAGTACGAAGACATCTTAAATCATTCAATCAATTCCAAAACTAAAACTTTCAAGCAAAACTGACATTTTAATAAAAGAACCAGCGGTCGACAAAAATCCGGCAATAATTACCAGCACATTTTGTGTGTTTTGCATGTTGTTTACCATGCTGTTTTCTTGGTATGTGCTCTGCTGTGTGATTGATTACTGTGTTTATTGCTTTCTTTATCTCATCACACGTCCCTTATGTCTATCCTCGCATTCTTCTAATTAAATATACAAACAGATGGCAAACAGGTATTAAAAAAGCCTGGGAAAAAATCATAAATGCTCTTTAATGAAATATTAAGGAAGGCTGGACTAGAAGAGTACAAAGTGAGCTCTGCTATTATAGTAAACCCAAAAGGAAATCGAAATAAGTTGCAACTAAAGATTACATTCTTACATCTTTTTTTATTCATATGGAATATGACTATTTTTTACATTATTACTCTTTTAATTATTTCAATATACACCCTACTGAAATACAAAATAATTTAGTTTTTTATATATTTAATATATTTTATATAATAATTATTGTTAATTATTATAATTATAAATGTTATATATAATATGTTAATAAACTAAATTATTATATTTTTTAATAATTAAATTATAGTTTATTATAGTTTATTTAGTTAATTAATAATATTAGTTTAATATTAATAATATTAATATTAGTATTGTATTATTTAAAAAATAACTACGATTTAATAGTTAATATATTAGATAATACATTTTGGATACATTCATATATTAAATGTTTCAAAGAATATATAAATTAACAACTATTTACACTTTTACATTTTTTATTTTATTTTAAAAATAGTACAAAAGACTTCTAAAAAAATCAAACTTATGGGGGCTAAAAGTATTGACCTTTAAAATGACTCAAAGACCTTTTTGCTAATTGCTTTTATTGCAGCCAAACCAAAAGAAAAAGAAAAAAAAACTTTCTCCAGAAGAAAATATATTATACAAAATACTGCAAAAATTCCTTTGTTCCAATAAACATCTATTTCTAAATATTTTTAAAAAATGCTAAAAATTTCCCCGGAGGGCTAATACTTTTGCCTTCAACTGTATAAATTAAATATTTAAACTAAATTATAATTTTTAAATGTATTAAAAATGTATAATATATATATATAAATACCACTCTGTGCTCCAACATTAAGCATGTCAAAATAAGACTATTATGTAATTCTTTATCTACTTTCAATCTTTTATAACCTGTTTTAACACATTTTAATCTGTTTTAATCATTTTTATTACTGGTTTTAATTTGTTTTGTTTTTATTTTCTTATAAAATTACTTGTCTTATGTAAATGTAAGTTCCTGTTTATGTAAAGCACTTTGAATTGCCACTTTGTATGAAATATGCTATAACAACAAACTTGCCTTGCCTTTTATAAATTACCAAATAATTATTATTTTAGGGATTCATTACATTATTATTAACATATATAAATATGAAATGTATCCATTTTATTGAGTCTCACCTTCAGTCTTATAACAAGACAAGCAAGGTCGGAGGAGTCGATGAAACCCAGTCCAAAAACTCTCACGCTGTCACAGTCGAACTCACGGACGTCACACAAACCGCCATTCTCCAGATCAGTGACTTCTACTGGCTGACCTAAAAACAAACAAACACACAAATTCATACTATAGAACAAAATTTCAACTTTAGCTTCAGAAAAGCATTATTAATAACAGCACTACTCAGACCCTCAAGGAATTCTATCATTGGTAAATTTAACGCAAACTCAAGCAAATGGTACAAATGTTTGTAGATTTCACGATTTTTTATAATAACTTAGCATTTATTTTCAAACAATTACAAATTGGACGACTTATTATTTATTTGTTAAAAATGACAAAATAGACAACTTTGTATGTCTTTTTCAAACAAAACTGATGACTAAGCATCTATTAAACAATTACAAAACGGATGACTTATTTATTTCCCAACTATTACAAAACAGACAACTTGCCATTTATTTTCAAGCAATTACAAAATGGACAACTTAACATTTATTTTCTAACAATTGCAAAATAGATGATTCAGCATTTATTTTCAAACAATTACATAGATTAATAGATTTCCATTCATACGCATGCGAATGCGACTCACTGGAAGCGCAAGCTCATGCGACAAGTTTCGCAGTTCACTGTGTTGGAAAGTTCAAGCTTGGTGAGCTCTGATCTGCAAAACTGATCACGAAACTGCGTGAGACCAATCGAAGATCAAAACATGACCTCAGTGAACTGAAATTTAAAATATTGACCATTGCTCGCTTTTTTAAATCATCTTGTTTCATCTATCATCTCGTCTAATTATCTTGCTTAATCCCGCCCCTTTTCGCAGCACCATACAACAGAATTTTGCATGTTCAAAGTCTAGTTTGATCGCAACACTAGCATTTAATTTCAAACAATTACACAATGAACAACTTTATTATTTATTTTCAAACAATTACAAAATGGACGACTTGGCATTTATTAACAATAATTACAAAATGGAAGACTTTATTACATATTTTCATACAATTACAAAATGGATGACATGGCATTTATTTTCAAACAATTACAAAATGGATGACTATTATTAGTTTTCAAACAATTACAAAATGGACGATTTGGCATTTATTTTCAAACAATTACAAAATGGATGACTTTATTATTTATTTTCAAACAATTTCAAAATGGACGGACGACATGGCATTTTTTTTCAAACAATTACAAAATGGACGACTTTATTAATTGTTTTCAAGCAATTACAATATGGACAACTTTATTATTTATTTTCAAACAATTACAAAATGGACAACTTCATTATTTATTTTCAAACAAGTGGTAAAATTCTTAAATATGATACAGCAGACCTAAGGAGTAAATACTACTTTCTCTCTGTTTCTCTTAGTGTTTTGTTTATATAAATTACAGAGATCAATGTTTCTCTGGGTCTCATAGTTTTATGATAATTTAAGAAGTGTATTTTTGTGTATATTTCATACCAAAACAATAAAATAAAAGCAAAATCTGCAAAAACTTGATGCAAAGTAAGTCATTTTAATTGTGAAATTCGTTATTTTTTTTTTTTTAATGAAATCCTGGAGGGGCTGATTGGTTGCCTCTATGAGGCGTGGTCTATCAATGGGGTGGAGTCTGTGAGTGGACATGGCTAGCAACCTCATATAAATGCACACACTCATGCATTTTTGAAGTAATACAGTAGTTTTGATCAGGATCACAAGGTCAAAACCAATGCACTGCTTTGACATTCAACTCAACATCCTCACAAAACACCCACAGAGACAAACAAGTCCACAAAAAAAAAAAACAAACAAAAAAAAACTGACGGACTGCAGTCAACTCATTCTTGATTCATGGAAATGGCACTACAGGAGTCTTGTTAAACCCAGAAACTCCATTGTAAATTCAAGTGCAGTATTTAATAATGTTGAAAAAGCCTCGTCCTTCGCAAAAAACCAACGGTGAATAAAGTTTACGAGACTCAAATGGAAAAGATAGAGACAAACCAAAGTCATTTCAAGATGCATTGACACTAAAAAAACAAACAAAACAACACAATCCCGGCTTTAAGCTATACAAGATTCAGACTGCCGGAATCTGACCTTGCCAGTCTGCATTAAAATAGGCAAAGGATTCATAAGGCAAACATTACGGCATAATTAGAGCCTGGAAATACAACGTTCTCCATAACCGAGGCTCTTGAATAATGCAAACGAGTAAATACAAGCTTGTTTCCACCTCTCTCAGGCCTTATAAAACACAGCATTTAATATAGTTCCAGCGACTCCAGAAATGACTGTAGCGCGGGAGCATTACGCTTGATTAATGCCATTATCGCTCCCATCTTGGCTCATTTCAAATCAGTGTTTTTATTACCAGAGCGTAACCTTCCGCAGGGTGGAAGACTATTTAAATCACATATCCGAGACGCAAAGCAATGTGGATGTGCTGGGACAGTTTTCTAAACTAAGGCAAAAGTGTGTATCTACAAAAAAACAAAAAGAGGAGGAGGGAGAAGGAAAGAAAAGATATCAGAGAAAACGGTCCTCGGAGGAGAACAATTAAGTACAGAGTGAGTGTTAATGCATTTTAGCCTCATCAAAGAACTTTCTCCAGATGGTCTCATTTTGTGGAATTTTGCACTTGGTATGAATGATAATTTAATAATTAGAAAAACAAAATCACCCCCTTGATGCTGTTTAGAAGATATATACTAGGATCAGAGAGAATATTAAAAGATTTGTGTGAGTCATGTAATGTAGATATCAAATTTTGATATAAAAAATAACTTAATATTTTAAAACAGTAATAAAACATATAGTGCGTGCACATTGGCAAGTTTTTATGGAAATATCTGCACACAGCCAATTGAAGTAAATAATTTCTAAAATGTATAATTCTGAAACTATTAAAACTGAAGATGATGCATTATCTTGCAATCCCAGTTGTAAGAGCAAGAATTAATAACTTGACTTCTAGTTGATCATTTGAAAAAAGTGGCAGAAGGTAAATTTTTCTGATGAATCATCTGTTGAACTGTATCCCAGTCATACTGCAGAAGACTTAATGGAAGCCGCATGGACCCAAGATTCTCATAGAAATCAGTCAGGTTTGGTGAAGGAAAAATCATGGTTTGGGGTTACATTCAATGTAGGGGCTTGCAAGAGATCTGTAGTGGATGGCAACATCAACAGCATGAGATATCAAGACATTTGTGCTGCCCATTACATTACAAGCCACAGGAGAGGGCAAATCCTTTGGCAGGATAGCGCTCCTACTCATACTTCAGCCTCTACATTAAAGCTCCTGAAAACAAAGAAGGTCAAAGTGCTCCAGAAATGGCCAGCCCAGTCACCAGACTTGAGCATATCTGAGGTAAAATGGAGGAGGCACTGAAGATGAACCCAAAGATTCTTTATGAGCTCTGGGAGTCCTGCAAGAATGCTTTCTTTGCCATTGCAGATGACTTTATTAATAAGTTATTTGAGTCATTGCAGAGATATATGGATGCAGTCCTCCAAGCTTACAGGAGTCATACACAATATTAATTCGTTTACCACTGCACTATGACTTTATATTCTGTACTTGCCATTATTTCTGTTAAGTGACTTAGACTTTTGTCTAAGCAAAGTCAGACCTTTTGTCTAAGCAAATTAAATAATTAAAAATCAAGGCATGATCATATTTTATTTTGGTAAAATAAGAGTGATCTAGAGGCTTTTGCCTTTTATATAAAATTAACTAGAAGTCAAGTTATTATTTGTTGTTCCTAACACTTGAATAGGCGAAAAAACTTTTGTCAGGTAGTGTGTATATATACAACTTTTCTAAATATGTAATAACAAATGAAATCACAAAGTAAACATTAGAAAATAAAGATATTATTTTATGTATAATAGTTATGTGTATTTGTTTAGTACCTCTACGAACAAATTTATAACCTACCATAAACATTTTTAGGCTTAATCCTTGATAAAAAAATAAAGAAAATAAATGCATTATTATCCAATAAAACTTTTAAAATCATTGTGTAATTCCTGTTAACATACAGGCCATAGAATGATACGTGTGAATATGAGAGTCTATACACAATAAGAATGATATATAATTAAAAAAAAAATTTAAATATCATTGACAGTTGAACCAAGAACCATTAGAAACTGCAAAGACATTAAAAACAAGAACAACAGCAGCAAAAACAAACAAACAAACAAACAAACAAACAAACAAACAAACAAACAAACAAAAAAATGCATTATCCTTAATAGTGGACAACCTTGCTAAATTTCCAGCTCAGCAAAGTCAGAAAGGTGATTTTCAGCCTTTTCCTTTGATTCACTCTGTAACAAAGCTCCAAAAATGCAGATCTGAACCAGACAAGCCTCCAGCACTGACGCAGTGTACACACACAAACACAGACACACACACATTCACACATTGTCCCTGACCGGCCTGGAAGGGAGCGTGAGAGATATTCAGGAGTTTTTAATCTCTGCCACAAGGGCGAACGCTTGTGCTTTGTGTTTGAAGAGAAATGATAAATGAGGAGCGATCAGATGACTCACTCAACCTGCTGTGAACAAAATAAATAAATAATAAAAATAAAAATGAGTCAGAGATGAATCTAAGCGGAGTCCTTTCTACAAAGTGTGACCCCTGCCTTATGGCTGAATATCACAACCGAAAGAAGACAGAAAGTAAGGTTTTCCGGATTGTTCCACGATTGAAAGAAACCCAGATATGCACAGGTGTTGAATCTGCTCTGATTGCTTGTTCTATAGACTTGATTTTCACTCTACTCCTCTTTATTTTTCATATTTCCAGTCTCATTGAGAGCCGCAAATGATTTCCAGAACATCCTTCACATTGGCAGTAATAGCATAAAATGTACCGCCAGACTAAGAGGAAGCAGTTTTATAGTCTGTGAGAAAATGAAATTGAATCCTTTTAGTTTTTTTCACCCAATTTATCAAGTTCAAGGTGAATCTAATGAACACACACCCTAAAAATGTACGCAGTATACACCATTCTTATACTATAAGCATAATTGTCATTATTTGCTTGTACTAGTGTATTTTCAAACCTTTATGGTGTTATTTAGCTTTTTATAAAGCTTAAAGTCATTCATTCAATTTTGTCCGCTTTTCCAGGGCTGGGTCACAGGGGCAGCAGTCTTAGGAGAGAACCCGAGGCTTCCCTCTCCCCAGACACTTCCTCCAGCTCCTCCAGGGGGATCCTAAGGTGTTCCCAGGTCAGCTGAGAGACATAGTCCCTCCAACGTGTCCTTGGTCTTCACCAAGGCCTCCTCCCGGTGGGACATGCCTGGAACACCTCACTAGGTAGGTGTCCAAAAGGCATCCAAAACAGATGCCCAAGCCACCTCAGCTGATTTCTCTGTGGACTTTTCTGTGGAAGAACAGCAGCCCTACTCCGAGCTCTTCACCCTATCTATGAAGGTGTGCCCTGCCACCCTGCGAAGGAAACTCATTTCGGCCACTTCTATCCAAAATCTTGTCCTTTCCATAGGTGAGAGTAGAAACATAGATGAATAGATGACCGGTGAATCGAGAGCTTTGCCTTTCGGCTCAGCTTCTTCCAAAATTATTCATATATAATTGTATTTTAGCATCACATAATTGTGGATGGCGAAGCAGTGGTGCAGTAGGTAGTGCTGTCGCCTCACAGCAAGAAGGTCGTTGGGACGCTGGTTCGAACCTCGGCTCAGTTGGCGTTTCTGTGTGGAGTTTGCATGTTCTCCCTGCGTTCGCGTGGGTTTCCTCCGGGTGCTCCGGTTTCCCCCACAGTCCAAAGATATGCGGTATAGGTGAATTGGATATGCTAAATTGTCCGTAGTGTATGAGTGTGTGTGTGAATTAGTGTATGTGAATGTTTCCTAGAGATGGGTTGCGGCTGGAAGGGCATCCGCTGCGTAAAAACTAGCTGGATAAGTTGGGGGTTCATTCCGCTGTGGCGACCCCAGATTAATAAAGGGACTAAGCAGACAAGAAAATGAATGAATGAATTATTAAAACATTTTCTTTTTTTTTATTTTAAATGAGATGCTAATGGTCTAATCTGATTCCATGATTAATGCTAAGCTAAGCTAAAAGTGCTCCCACCAGACCAAGAGGTTAGCTGAATGGATTGAAATGGTAACTGTTTATTCTTAAGAGAGTTGTAAAATAAGCCTATATCTCACTCCTATGTTTCCCAGAGATGGGTTGCGGTTGGAAGGGCATCCGCTGCTTAAAACTTGCTGGATAAATTGGCGGTTCATTCCGTTGTGGCGACCCCGGATTAATAAAGGGTCTAAGCCGACAAGAAAATGAATGAATGAATGAATGAATAATTGTGGATGACTTTAGACTGAACATGTAATACAGAAGCACGCGTGCTTTTCACATAAATGTACAGCTAAAATGCATAAAACATTTAGCAAATGTTTTTTAATTAAACCTGTGTAGATTAATTGTAGTCTTAAATTTCGGCTGTCCAATCATTTAATGAGAAATGCACAATGGCGGTTCATTCATCAATCTAAAAAGGTAAGGTCACAATAAGGACAATGCATTATGGGATTTGCTGTGCTCCCCCTTGGCTAGCATGTTACAGACAAAAAGAGGGTAGTATATTAGCATGCTATAAATCATTGGACCAAATGTGAGCACAAACAAAGTGCAGCCCAACAAAAATCCCCATTTGACTGGATGAAGCTATAAAAACAGTTTATTTAACATATCCTAGAAGTTTGGTTGTTTAATCAAATAATGAGCAATGGACATGTTTGTGTACAATCATCAATCCAAAAAGGTAGGTCATGCCGACCACAATCCTTTGTGAGACTTAGGGTGCTTTCACATCTGTAGTTCGCTTCATTTGGTCCGGACCAAGGGTAATAAATGATACATTGTTGCATCTTCTGCCGTCTTTGGGTCGTTTTCACACCACATGCTGGCTTTGGTCTGAACCAGTTTAAACATACCAAAATGCAGTCATCTGACAAAATCCACATCTCTCATTGGCCAGATGTTGTTGAACATATTTCCTCAACTGCTTATTGATATGTCAGAATTCACGTGCGGGAAAATGCCAGTGACTTCCCAGCAGTTAAACAAAACCTTTTACTCTGGATGGACAACTGCGCTGGCTGATTGTATCCCTGCTTTAGACAGACTATACATTACGAAAATGAAGCGCGGCCGCGGCTGGAAAACAGTGTTTAATGCATCGTTAGTTACTTCAGAAGGAGACGTGAATTAATTTAGCTAAACTGTGACATTGTCATCTTGCGTAAATATTACCAACGATCCATCAGGTAATGTTTTCCCCTCTCTCTCTCTGTTGGTAAAGCGCTGTCAACAAATATTTTTCCTCCATATCCCATAATGCACAGTGCATCGGCCTACGGCAGCTAAATTAGTCCAAAACGCGCAGTACTTTTTGCGTTTGGACCTGTTTTAGTACGGATCATATTCTCACCACAAACGAACCGCTCCAGGGTTCGTTTGAAAGCATACCGAGACCACCTCTTCAAGCAGGTCTCGGTACGCTTATTTGGTCCTCTTTTGGTGCGCACTCAAGTACGATTGCTGCATTCTCACCTGCCCAAACGAACCATACCAAAAAAGGAAACGAACTCTAGTGCGATTCAATCGAACTAAATAAGGCAGGTGTGAAAGCACCCTTATATGCTCTCCCGAATACTCTATACTCTGGTTGATGTAGCAGAAATAAGAGTAATATGTTGGCATACTACAAATCACAAGGCAAAAATCTGAGCACAAACCCAAATTGTATTTCAGCAAATATCCCCATTTGATAGGATGAAGTGCAAATAAAGTCAACCCAAAACGATTAAGCATAAATGTGTCATAGGCTTCTGGAAAAAAAAAAAAAAAAACGAAACTAATGGATGGCGTTCCCAGATGTGGAAGAGGCATCATCCGATGATCAGTTGGGCAATTAAGCAGATTTATCTAGCCGTCCTCCCTGTGCTACCTTGCACGTTGATCCTTGCGTGGTTACCATAAATCAGAGCCCGCTCTCCGAGAGGTTAAAAAACGTCAGTCTGTGATAAACAGCCCTCTCTAGCGGACCTAATCTGCTTGCTAATTTGTGTTAAAACTCCCATTTCGTCACTGAGGCAGCCCCAGGGAACATGCAAAAAAACGTCGAGGGAGATAAAGGCTTAGTGAAGATCCCAATGTTAATCAGTGAGCCAGTATGGGCGCCTGGCGCTGAGCCAGGCGTTAGCATACCTGCATAACAATATCTCATTTATATGAAGGTTGGCTAGGAAAGATAAAGGCACTTCTGAGCCTTGCCGCTATTGCCAAAAACAATCAGAAGATAAACATGCTCAGTGACTTTGCCGCTTCGAAAGAAGTTCCATACAACAATTCAAATAATTCATATAATCAATAAAAAACACACTCGCACAAATGTGCGCCATCTGCGGATTCTTTTGAAGACCTGCTTGGGGGAGAAGGAAATTATTTCTTTTGCACAGTGTAAATACAAAGAATGCAGAACAACAGCATCCAAAGCAAATATAATTAAAAGGAACTGAAAACAAACAACAAGACACATACATGCTTGATGAAAAGCGTTGGCTCAGGAAAAACAAAATCATCTAATGCCATAGAAATGCTCTGGCAACTTGGCCACCATCTGGTAATAGCAGCTGTAGTGAAGACTGTACTTGTGCCAGTGCAAAAGATTTTAATTACACACATTTGGCCAAAAGAGCAGTGAAAGGATTGACCCACAGATATCCAACAGGACACATCACAGGACACTAGATAGTTGTCTACTTAAAAAAACAATGCTTCTAAATGCGATGATAAATTGCTATAAATCAGCTGCTATTTCTTCAGTGTGCTGATTTTGTTTCGCTTATGTACTATAGAGTATCATTTGTTAACCACTTTCTGTAAGAATTCTGGAGACATTCCACCTACTTTATCTGCAGGAACAAGATGTGAAATTGGAAGGATTTGCTAAAGGAAACTTCTTCCGAGAGATGCAGAGAGATAATGGCCCTAATGATCTTATCAGAGTCTCCTCCCAAGTTTACACTAAAGTTAGAGTCTCACAAACTGTGGCCAGATCTAACCAGATTCTAAAGTCTCCAATCTAGAGACCAAATTATCTAAGACAAATTACATTACAATTATATTTAGTACTTAGCAGATGCTTTTAACCACAGCAACTCACATACACACCACTGCCTGGGGTGCAGTTGGGGTTTTGGTGCCTTTCTCTAAGGACTCACCTCAACAATGGTACAGTACTGAGAGCGGAAGAGAGTGCTGGTTATTCACTCAGCCCACCTACAACCCCCACCGGTCCTGGGACTTGAACCTGCAACCTTTGGATCACAAGTCTATCTCTCTAACTATTAGGCCAAAGCAGGAGAAACACCTTAAAGTTGATGCTGAATTGAATTGAATACCAATACATATCCTTTAGGAAAAATCCATCAAGTCCAGTAAGAGTGAGAACATATGTAGATTTCCCCAAGGCCTCTTGAACAAAACCTCAAAGATAACTTTGATGCACAATAGCAGTCCCAACTCAGATATTACAACCTTACAGGTATGGCATGTCACACAAAGCATGTTTTAGCACTCTATTTTACCAGTTTGTCAACACGCATCTCAATAGTTTCTCATGTCATGAGAAACTTAACAGTAAATGCTTAAGAGAAGCAAAAACAACCAAGTCAACTGAGATATGAATAAACAACCTCTGATCAATTAAACCCCATTTAGACCACAAATCCTTTAAAAGACTCTTCCATGTCCAGTGAGAGTGAGAACATATGTAGATTTCCCCAGGCCACCAAAACAAAACCTCAAAGACAACTTTGATCCTCAACTGCGGTCCCTACCTTAAATTTCACAACCCCCTGCAGGCATGTCATACAAAAAACATGTTGTAGTACCCATATGGATGCTTAATGATCACATTTTTACCATACATTTTGCCAAGAGGGGTGTCTGATAATCTAGGGCAATTACATTTGAAGCAACAGATGGATAGATATCAAAAAATCACTTACTGATTGTGAGACTGCAGTCGTAAAAGCTGTAGCCTGGATAACACTGACATCCCCACTCTACACATTGCCCGTTCCCATTACAAAAGTTCGGACAACGCAGGGCCATTGCAATATCTGCCAAAGATTTGGAAGCTTCTTGAGAACTCTGGCTCCGGTTCTCCAGCCATTTTCGCTCACATTCGTTTTCCAGGAAGGGCACGAGTGCGTCCTCCCAAGCCAAATCATCTTTCAACTGAAGATCCAGGATGCAGAGATCCACAGCTTCTTCCAGGCGCCGACCCAGCAGACTCTTACATACCGTGCCCACGGTTGAGTTGGCCAAGGTCGATTGGCAGACCTCCAAAGCTTTGGCAGAAGTGAGACCGCTAGGTGTCGGCCAGGAAGGGTGGGCAGCTGGACGGCTGGAAGAGCGGTGGTCATCTGGAAAGAAGTAGGCGAAACTTTCGAGGTCAGTCTGGCTTAGAGCCTGGAAGGTGTAAACAGGCTGAAAGTCAAGGGTTTGTCTCTTTAGCCTTGGTGAGGGTACCTTAGATTCATTCAAGTGAGGATTGTGAACTTTAAATAATGAGTCCAATTCCAATTCCCTGACAGAGAGAGAGTTGTCTGCCAAACCACTGGACAACTGAGACTTCAGTTTAGCACCTTTCATCTTGGTTAACTCTGATGCTTTAGCCAAAGCCTCCCGCTTCTGGACGTTACGGGTGGAGAAGGGTTTAACAGCATACTCAGCAGTGGCGTCTTTGAAGGGGAACAGGGACGTGTAATCTGTGTTGTCGTAAGATAGGCAGCGAGAGACAGGAGGTGGGTTTAATAGGCCTTCTGAGGCGCGTGTTGAATGGAGGGACAGGCTGTATCCCTTTTGACAAGCACAGAAATTCCACTTTATCTCCTCATCCACGGCAGGTGGCGTGCTGTCAAACAGGCTCTCCCCAGGCGCGATCCTGACACGGAGAAATAAAACAAAAATATGACTG